GATGGCATTATTTTCATTTTTGTATGAATTATCCTATAACTTTCGTCTGTCATTTGAAATAGTATACATAATTGCTTTATATAATTAGGTTATTTATAAAAAAAACATGACCATATTACACTCAAAAAGTGCATATACTCTCACACATACACAGTCATAAAAGAATCCACATCTGAAAATATAAAGAAAAACAGCTGTACATCTTGTTGCAGTCCAAGTCAGAGTCATTGCGGTTCAAAAAAGTCACTTTCCTTCTATGGGCAGGTCTGTGTTGGTCAAATCTGCACCAGTATGGCTCATCCTCAACAAACCAGAGGCTCTAATATTTATTCATTTTTAGAATTAAGCTTGGAGTTTTTATTTTTGCTTTTTTTCTTCTTGGGGTTCTGCAGTGGATGCTCCTTTGAGGGACTCTGAGGTGCATGAGAGGACTCGTTGTTTTGGCGCGTGTATCTCTTGCAGGTGCAGGATGTGACGGCGGTGATCTTGTAGGTGCGTGTGCTGCCGTCCTGGCACTGGAGTTTAATGCGCTGGATGCGTGTGCGTTCGGTGACGCAGCGCCACTCCTGGGCATCCCGTCTGCTCCAGTAGTGACCTCCACCGATCCAGTTGGGCAGCAGGTGGGTGGGAAGACATTCTCCAGCACACACTAACTCCTTGACGGGATTCAGGCTGGTGCATTGGCCGTCAGATATGTATTTAGTGGACCTCAGCTCCCTGCAACCGACCTGGTGCTGTTCTGCAAAAGGAAAGTTCATGCTTTAAAAATCAGAAGGAATTATATGATGCATTGCACTTTAAGTTATTCTACAGTAGGCTAATACAATAGCCTGAAAGTTTAGTTTTAAAGGCTTTAAGTTTTAAGGTTAAACAGACATGAACAGACAGACTGATAGATAGACAGACTGCTAGATAGATAGATAGATAGATAGATAGATAGATAGATAGATAGATAGATAGATAGATAGATAGATAGATAGACAGACTGCTAGATAGATAGATAGATAGATAGATAGATAGATAGATAGATAGATAGATAGATAGATAGATAGGTGTTCAGGCAGGTTGCATAGATGTTCTGACTTGTTGAAAATAACAACTTTTTAGGCAATATCACCGGAGTTATAAAAATATACAAAAGCTCATGTTTTTAAAAATATATGCGAGCAACCATATAGATTCGGATGATTTGAATTTTGTAATATTATTAAAGATATGAACCCTACAAAAGTGTGATAAACGCACGAGTAAATACTTAAAGGTAAACACGTACCAGTTTGGTCCCGGCTCTCCGTTCGTCTTCCTCCGTTGCGCGCTCGATTTAAAGAGGCATTATTTGGTGTCTGGTGAGATGATGCCACCATGTGCCCATGAAACTCTTCAGTGGCATCATTTTTGAAAGCATGACAGTTTTTTATCAGAAAGCAGAGCAGAAACAGCAGCTGGTATTCGCATGTGTTGAGGGGCATTGCAAAAGAGTTCGGTTCAGTGTCTCTTTGAAAACTCAGAGAATGATTATACCTACCTGTTTCTCATCCATGTTTATATACCCGCCCATTCCAGAACAGCAGCAGTGAGTGGAACGATGAAGTGTCCTCGCGATGTAGTACACGCCCACCTACAGCTACAGTATTTTGCACCGTGAAAAATTATTCTGGAAATTGGAAAATTATACTGATGTGAGCTAATCGTCGCAGAAACATTATAAATATATTGTATCCAGACGATTACATTTGTTGTCTGTTTAGCCTATTTTATATGTATGATTATTAAAACCAATAAAAATGCAATTATACATTTAATTTAGTGTAAAACTGCAACATTAATAGAGAAACATACCAAAACGCACTTGCTGTGAAAAATGTGTAGTTTGTCATTTTACTCTGACTCTATTCATGCAGTCTGTCTGACTTTTAAATGTTACTTTCATTCTAATATAATCATATAATGTTATATGAAGTATTATTATTATTAATCATTTGAAAATAATTATATATATATATATATAATAAGACAACAACAAAATAATCCAGCACATATTTTAAGTTGTCTAAAAGAAAACAAAACATTCAGACATTCAGACAATTCATTCCACAAAATGAAAACTGAATGACATTTTTCACAATCATTTTTAATAATACTTTCTTATATTCCCATGGCCCTACAGAGGACAATCGTTTTGGAGAATGGATGGATGGATTCTTGAATTACATTTTGTTGAATTTTCATATTTTTGCAGTTGGATTTATTTTATTCTCAAATTTTTTAAATGTTTCAAAAATATTTTTTACTTATGCAAACAAACTTTCACTATTACTGTATTGCTGATCTTAAGTAGGAAACACCTATTGTGTAGCTCAGTTGATACATGTGAGCAAACAGTGCATTGCAACACTCTCAAACAGAGAGACACTGTGCTGAGGATGTTGCGCTCTCAGGTGTGAATGAGTTTTCAAGCATATTTAGATCCTCTACATGTGAACCTGATGCATTGTACTCTAGGTACAGGCATGCATGACAAAACCTATGAAACGGGATAGCCCTGGATTATTTTACCCCAAAATTATCCAAACAGGTGCCTCCGATGAGCTCACCAAATGAATGTGCATAACACAAACGACATGGAGGAAACACAAAAGCCCAATGCTCGCTTTCTTTTACCGAAAATGTGTGGCTCCCCCAAAAAGTTTCTAGTTTCACTCACTCCTCGGGCATTTACGATTAATTCATTCCGCTTGCCCCCAGGTACACTTCTTTGATTCGGACGAAAACACACTGATTTTTCCCCCCCTTTTTTAAAACAAAAACAAAAATGTAGCCTATTTCAAAAGCCACTGCTGTCAAAATGATCTCTTATTACCTAAAAAGCACTGTTAGTCATATTGGTAAAGGGGGGTCTATTGGGGATCACTGAATATGCATCCTCAGGGCTTGAAAGAGGAATATCAAAGTCATGCGATATGATGCGGCATTCGCTAATTTCTGCATCTGAAAACCGGATATTTGAGATAGTCCTTTCATGCACCTGTAATGACCGTGACATGCTCATAGATGGAGACAGGAGAGGGATGAATCTCAGGGGAAACAGAGAGGTTACAGCACGGAGTTATGGGTATATTGACATGCGACGTGACAACTGTGTGCTAAATAGACCCTTGTTTGGCCCACAGGGTGAGATAGTCCCTTGGGATGAGGGGATGTGGAGACTGGGAACAAAGCGCTCAGGAACAGACAGAGCCGTCTATAGAATTCTGAGCGAGTGCCTTAGGATGTGTGCAACAGGACCAAGTGTGGGAAAGTCCACGGAGGAGATCCCTGCTCTCTCAAAACTCACTGTTTAATGCAGTTACGACACTGCAGCTTAAACTGGACATTTTCAAAACATTTTTTGAGAATGTGTTGGTATATATTGATTGATGATTATGATAATGATGCATATTAATTTCAAAATGTTTATCTTTTTTTTTTACTTTAAATTTTAGTAAACATCATCACGTGTCTATTTCATTAAGCCATCATTATTGAGATCAAAATTTCACCTGAAAGAGGTTTATGTTTGTAATAAACACTGTGATTCTGATCATTTAAAGCATGTATGCTGTTCATTCTAAGAAGTAAACAGTACACAGCCTGCTGATGCCAAATTTAAGTTCACACTTGATCTTCAGAGGTTGGACGCTGCCCTCTAGCGGAAAACTACTGAATTAAAATGTATGTATTACATCAATTTCTTTAATTGAGCAAGAAAAATAAAGTTGAGATAAAATTAAGCCTTCAATATGAACTCTTTTAGAGGTTCTAATTTAAAAGCAAATTATGCGAGAAGCAAAAAAACAGATTTAAAAAAATAAACTATGTTATAAAACAAGCAAAAATAGAAACACTAAGGTGGAAAAGGTACAACTTAAACAAAAGCACATAAAGGAATAGTTCACCCAAAGATGAAAATTTGCCGATTATGTACTCAGCCTCAAACCATCCAAGATGTAGATGAGTTTGTTTCTTCATTGGAACACATTTGGAGAAATTTAGCTTTACATTACTTGCTCACCAGTGGATGCTCTGCAGTGAATGGGTGCTGTCAGAATGACAAACAGCTGATAAAAACATCACAATAATCTACAAGTAATTCACATGACTCCAGTCCATCTGTTAACATCTTGTGAAGCGAAAAGCTGCATGTTTGCAAAAAACAATTCCATCATCAAGATGTTTTATAACTATAACTGTCACTTCTGAGTCTATAATCCTCCAGTGAATAAGTCCATCCAAAATCCACCAACATATTCGTTTAGTACTTTTTTGGACTGTTTTCACTTGTAAACTATGCTTGATCTGTGTATATTTCTCTCCTGATTCAGATGAGATGATTTTTTCACTGGAGAAAGTAATATTATGGATAGAGGACTTGTATTTTAACCGGAAACAACGATTTTAAAAACGTCTTAATGATGAACACGCTGCTTTTTGCTTCACAAGATGTTAATTAGTGGACTGTAGTCATGTGGATTATTTGTGAATTATCGTGATGCTTTTATCAGCTGTTTGGACTCATTCTGATGGCACCCATTCACTGCAGAGGATTCATTGGTGAGCAAATAATGTAATGCTAAATTTCTCGAAATCTGTTCAGGCGAAGAAACAAACTCATCTACATCGAAGAGGGTGAACACATTTTTAGCAGATTTTCATTTCTTGGGTGAATGATTCCTTTAAAGTGGTAGAGAACATCCTCAAAGTTTTTCTTTCTGTCTCTGGAGTATCAAACAGTTGCCCACAATCAAAATAGTAAGTCCTTTGGTTAGCAGTTTGTCATGTGCTCTGCATGTCCTGTACTTACACAGCTTAGAATAAGTATACAATCCAACACTTCAGTATCATTGTTTACTGTTTCCTATAAAATGCAGAGCACCAATCACAGCGCAGCATGCTGAGGACGAACTGGATGCCCAGCGGACTTCACCTGGCCAAAGAAACAAGAGCCAATATCTTTCTGCTCCTCAGTCCTTTCCAGCACAAGGAGGATCTTCAGAGGCCTCAGAGGTTTCACTGTGGTCTTCAGAGGGACTGTTCTGAAGTGCACACTTTGACAAACCCAGACACAGAGCCAGCATGGAGCTGGTGCCGTTCACTACATCATTGTCATCAACTGATAGGAAACAGAAAACAAACAAATGAAATAAGCTTCGTATTTCACTTCTAAAACTCTTATAACGTAACATAAAATGACAAGAACAAAGCTTCTGTAGAAAATAACCTTGTTTTTATCATCAGTCCTTAGTCATTCAGTGTCATGATGACCAAAAACACTGGTAAGATTCAGTAAGATCTAACTCAAGTAAATCAAGCATTTCTTAACTAACCACTGATGTGCTAATATGCTAACACTTTACCACTGCTAGAGAGTTCTCTCAGTTTGGGTTGGCGGTTGCCTCTCTGTGGCACAGGAGTTTTGCACTGCCTCTTATGGGTGAACCAGTGCAGCCTCTGACACGTCGGCCCACAGTAGACCACCTGCAAAGGGATCAGAGCATTATGGGAAAACAAAGTGTTTCAGCAACATGTGAAACTCCAACATAATGACAAGAGAGCTTACTTAAGAATACAAAACAATAATCTTTGCATAATGTAACTCAACAGTGCACTTTAAATGCAGTTTTAAAGTTAGATATCTTTTAATTTTAATGTTCTTGCATTTCTGACTAAATCTGGGCTTCTTAATTAAAATGTAGGTTCAGGATGAGCCTCAAGAGAAAGCACATGCTAAATAGCAACTTAAAGTCAGTATACTTTGCAGATGGTCATTATGTGTGATTAACTGTAAAATAAATCACATGAACAACATTTGTAAGTTTAGCTACAAAATGATCAAAAATGTCAGTATTAATGGAATGAATGTTGATGGCAAGCTATGATTACTTAAGAAAAAAAGGAAACAGATTATACCATTTTACAGAAGGAGCACTTCTTGTCAGCACCCTTCTCTCCACAGGTAGCACAGTACTCTGTGTCCATAAGCACCATCTGGCCTGTCAGTGTCTGGGTCAGAACCGAGAAGGCTGTGGGCTCGTTCCCCTGGAAACAAGAGAGAGGCTGTGAAACACAATGTTTACACATTTTTATAATTTCAGTCAGCAAGTTATGAACATCTACACTAGCATTCAAACGTTTGATTAGTAAATTAGTAAAACAAGGTAATGTTGGGAAATAATATTAAAACTTAAAATAACTGTTTTTGATTTGAATTTGAATTTTTAGCATCATTACTCCAGTCTTCAGTGTCACATGCAGTGTTGGGGGTAACGCATTACAAGTCAAAATGACTTTTTTCAAGTAACTAGTAAAGTAACGCATAACTTTTTTAATTTACAAGAAAATATCTGAGTTACGTTTTCAAAAAAGTAACGCCAGTTACTTTGTTTTCCCATTTATTGACTGACAGCTCTCCTGTCCTCATGTTGGGAGAAATCGGAAGTTGTGTGCGCTGTGTGAACATGATGTTACTGTAATTCTAGACTAAATGTGAATGTGCATTAATTCATCCCACTCACAAAAAACAGATTTAGCATTCATCAAAATGAATTAAAACAGTGAAATGCAAACTCAGAATATGACGCAAACCTGCAATAATTAAATATGTTAAATAACACAAATGTATCTAATCCCATTGTATTAACTGATGTCTTTGCTGCTGACCTGTGATGATCCAGTTCAACCATACTAATAAGCAAAAATGACTTTAGAGAAACTAACAATTGTGCTTTGTTTTTTATTGCTGAAGAGTGTTTCTTCTCCTGCGTTCTACTGTACAGACGTGAATTTACTTTTGCTTCAGCCTGAGGTTTATTCATTACACTTTTTGGTGTGAAAGGGCTTTTACATTTGCTATAAATAGAACTTCTTATATTAAAAACAATCAAGCCCTGCTTATATTTAAAAAGTAACGCAAAAGTAATATAACGCATTACTTTCCATAAAAAGTAACTAAGTAACGTAATTAGTTACTTTTTTAGGGAGTAACGCAGTATTGTAATGCATTACTTTTAAAAGTAACTTTCCCCAACACTGGTCACATGATCCTTCAGAAATCACTCTAAGATGCTCATTTGCTGCAAGAAACATTTCCTATTCTTAAAATGTCGAAAACAGTTGTACAGCTTAATATTTTTTGTAGAAACAGTGAAACATGTTTCTTTGATGAATAGAAAGGCCACATGTAACTTAATAAAGTTAACTTGTAAACTAGTGATTATTATTTAATATTAACTATTAAAAATATTAATTAAATATTAAAATATTATATATAACAATATTATATTATATTACATATCTAATTTATTATATTATTTAAGTAAGTATTATTTAAAATAATTCCACATTATATGACCCTTTAAACTTTGTTTATTAAAATTATAAGGTGTCCGTTTTATATGTTTAAAAATGTACTGACAATTTCCACAGGTGCTATACTTCGGACCAGCTGTTGCAGCAGGGTTGCCTCACAATAGGGAAACTTCCGGATACAATCACGAATGAATTTCTCCTGGTACTGAGGGAAGCCATCACCATCTCTTCCTTTCAGAAGGCTAGGGCAGAAGAAAAATATATGTTTTTGTGACTCCATTTGCAAGACTGTCTAAGATGTAATGGACCGTAATGATGATGTCACCTCCTCAACAGGGCATCCAGGTTGTCATCTCGTTCCTGCAGGAAGGCCAGACACTTCTGCAGCACGCAGCTGATGTAGTGCATCTTCATGGCCAGTACCTCATTCATGTCCTGCTGTTTCACACACTGCTCACAGAGCAGATCTATCACACGGTAGCACTTCTCCAGGGCAACCACATCCACCAATAAGGGGTCCTCCTTCACCAGCATCACCATCTGAAAACACATGATGGAAAAAATGTGCCCCAGAATATGAGAAGTGAATATAGCAGAGAGACACTATCCTTACTTACAATGCAAGTTTCATGGAGGAAACATGTTCTCACGCTACATGATTCTGTTAACTGATCCCTGCTGAGTATGGCGCTGAGACACCTTACTCATCAGAAATCACTGGATGTGAGACAGCTGAGATAGCGCACACAGATGCCATCCGAGATCTGCCACAAAGCACACACGCAAGTCTATACTAGAGCAACTGTGTATTAAATTACTAACACACACCTTTGATTTGACACTCACAGGCCTGCATTTGGAAAATAAATTTCTGCTGATTTTCCAGAAAGCCTAATATTACCTGTTTTGATGATGCTGAGTTGAAAAATATCAATAAAAAAACTCTCAGCACATACATTTGTTTTCACAAAATAAGAATGAAGATTTTTCAAATTATATATAGCCCCAATATGTATCAGCTTTAATGCATTTATCAGAATAACAAAAGCAGTCAAATGTCAAACACACACTCTGTTGTCAAAGAACTTTACACATTTGGAAAATACATTTCTGCTGATTTTCCAGAAAGCCTAATATTACCTGTTTTGATGATGCTGAGTACTCTCAGCACATACATTTGTTTTCACAAAATAAGAATGAAGATTTTTCAAATTATATATAGCCCCAATATGTATCAGCTTTAATGCATTTATCAGAATAACAAAAGCAGTCAAATGTCAAACACACACTCTGTTGTCAAAGAACTTTGCATAAACACAAGATCCTTAAAAATAAAAAAAAAATCACAAAACTAATTTGAACAATTTGCTTCTGTTGCTGTTTGGATTTTACTACATCCAAACAGCAAGCACCTTTTCAAACAGACGTTATCTTAATTAACAAACCGCGTATTTGAAGTACATCCTCGCCTAAAAAACTCTTAAAACTACATTCCGCGACACAAAAACAGTATTATTTATAAAATTATAGTGGATTTGGGTGTCCGCCACGAGTCCACGACACTCGCTGTGAGAAATAACGTAAGCAGAACGATACAAACGGTGAAGCGGTTGGAGTTCTGTTATCACTAGAATATTGCACTTCTCTCAGCCAATCAGATTCAAGGACTAGAAAGAACTGCTGTATAAGGGATAATACAACTTCTTCACCTTACAAATGGTTGTCGAAAGCAAAAATGCTACAAACTGTGTCTTATTTTGTGAGAAAGTGTCTATTTTTGGCACTATTTTAGGAATCAGCACCCCAAAATTAGTAAGAAACAAGTACTGGATTTCATTCAGCAAATATTATGCAAGGCGGTGTTATTTATGTATTTCATTGCACTGTCACATGCAAATGTCATTCCATTTTTCATATGCTACGCAATGAAGGCTGTTTATCAGAGCTGTAGGTATAACAGATTTATAACAGATGTCCAAGCCTGTGTTGAAATGCAGGCCATGTTGTTGCCCTGTAATATCACAAGGATATATTTAGATGGAATAAAAGCAGGAGGGGTGTTGGTTAGTGCAAACTGATGCTTCCTCCAGTCATGTGACCTTGTATGGTATTCTTATGGGTCAGTGTTATAAAAGCATAGGTTGCTGTGTTTCACTCCCATTGTTTGGTTTGTGTGAGCATGGGGCTTTACTGCTGCTTGAAATCTGAGTTATATAAACACACTTGGCAGTTCTTACCTTGACAGGATTGAGGTTAGTAGTCATGATGATTTTGTGTAGGGGTCCTGCTAGTTTGGGGGGTAGTTTAGGTTCAATCTCTGAGCCCTGGGGTCTGGTGTAGTATTCCAGCCTCGCACGAGAAAAGAAATTGTTGATCACTGTCACACAGTCATGCTGACCTGCACAGGGCAGAAAGATTAAGATTATTTATTCATTAGTAAGTAGTAAATGTGCATACGCATAGGAATCACTCACCCACAAAGGCAGCCATCTGAGCAGCAGTCCGTCCCACGGAGTTGACCAGATCTGTCTCTGCTCCAGCATCTAAGATCATCTCTGTTATTTCTGCATTACCTGTAGGATTATTCAGATTAGATGAGCTGGGAAAACTTTAGATGCCATTTTCAGATTATCTACACTATATAGAATACTGTTCAAAAGTTTGGGGTCAGTAGTATTATTTTTTTAAGAAATGTATACATTTATTCAGCAAAAATTCATTAAATTGATCAAAAGTGAAGACGTTTATAATGTTACAATATTTATTTTAATATAAATGCTGTTCTTTGGAATTTTCTATTCATCCAAGAATTCTAAAAAAAAAAAAAGGCAATATTGCAATTAAACTTTTCTCATATAAACACAATACTTCAATCAAATTGATGTGATTAAGCTCATAATCATCCAACATAATCATAGTAAAATATGTGGCGCATACAGATTGCAATCGCAAAGAACAGATATGTAAACATATTACTGCGATTAATTCCTTACACTGATTATTGGAACTAATCAAATATTTCTGATCAAATAAATGCCATCTTGGTGAGCTTAGGAGACTGCTAAAAACTACTGCTTTATTGCTTTAAAACTGGATCATTTTATTGTTATTTTATGAATAGTTGATAAGAAAGAAATCACCAATACATGCAAACGCATTTTACAATATATTTTATGATATTATTCCAATTTTACACACTTTTCTGCCCTACTTGTGTGTTTCTGTGATGATTGTGCTATTTGTGCAACCCAATGCAAGGTCGTCTCTTGAAATTCATTCATAAATGACCTTGCAAAAGCTGTTACCGAGGCAGTGCCCTTTCAAAAGGTACTCAAATATGTACAATATGTGCCTTTAAGGTACTTATACAAACTTTTTAGGGGTAAATAAGATCCAAAGATGTGCCTTTTGAAAAGGTACCAACTCAGTGAAGCTTTTGTACCTTTAAATGTTAGAAAATGAAACTTGGTAGAGTATATCGACATGAGTTTACCTGAGAGGCCAGCGAACATGAGGGCAGTATAACCATACTCATGCTCATTACAGTTGACATCAGCTCCGTGCTGCAGCAGCAGTCTGCACATGTCTGCTTTGCCCTTATAGGCCGCATGCATGAGAGGGGTCATGCCATACTAAAACCACATGAAGGAAAATACTTCAGAAATGTCTTTTCATCTGCATGACTCAAAAGCAAATGACATTTAGCCTTGTTCAGTCCCCTCGCAAATTGTGAAAATCCAGAAAATGTGTCTGCAGGATGGAGATTCTGACAAAACACTGGCACTTGTTGAGAGTGACATGAGCTGGGTGAGTCATAATCTTTGGTGCTCCTTGGAAGAAGTCGAAAGACTGCGTTGGTGGCACAGCGAACAAGCTCCACATCTGATTTTGACAGGTGGGATACACTTATCACCTGCTGTTTCTAATCATTCTGGCCCCAAAAGGACCTCAAGTAGTCTGTAGGTTACATCTAGTGGCATGTCTCCATTATCACACCTCTTTAAGGACCGCATCCGCCACTCAAGAGTCTCCGCCATATGCCTGAATAACAATGCGGAACATATGTTGTCACCTCACCAGCCCACCAGCCACTGCACTTGTTTACATAAGGGCTGATCGTCAGAAAACAACTAAATAATACCACTATTTACAGTGTCAGGCCTGTGTGTCTATGTAGTTAGGCTGCCGTAAAATAGCATAAACATGAATAAAAGTAGCAATAAGTATGGGTTGTGTTTGGCCAGCAGCCCTATGTCTGATTTTATGTTTTGTTGTGTTCCAGCTTGGTGAACCCCAATGAGCCATAACTGGTGCTTAAATGGCCTGTAAATTACTACCCATATTCATCATCTTTATGTTCTTACCTCATCCAGACAGTTAACACGCTCATTTGGATTGCTGAGGAGCTGGGTGGCCTCTTGCACATCACCTTTTGAGAAAACACAGTCTAGAGTTTAAAAACTAAACATCAGGATCATGGACAACTCATGATGAGCCACCATTGTATTTCCTTGGATGGTCTACATACCCACTTTGCATAAAGACACTTAAAGTATACTGAGGGTATTTTTAAGATGTTTTTATTATCTACCTTTTTCAAATTATGCAAGGATTCATTAAAATACTGTTCTAAGATAAACACAAAGTTTCATTAAACTGGTTAGTTTATAGATAAATCTTACCTTTAATATCAAAGTCTGTATAATATGAAACAGGCACTGTGTATATAATACTACTGTTCAAAAGTTTGGGGTAGGTAAGATTATTTTTTAATGTTTTTGAAAGAAGTCTCTTACACTCAGCGAGGCAACATTTATTTGATCATAAATACAGTAAAAACAGTAATATTATGAAATATCACAATTTAAAATATCTGTTTTCTATTTGAATATATTGTAAAATGTCATTTATTCCTGTGATGCAAAGCTGAATTTTCAGCATTACTCCAGCGTTCAGTGTCACATGATCTTTCAGAAATTATTCTAATATGTTGATTCGCTACACAAGAAACATTTTATATTATTATCATTGTTGAACGCATTTGTGCTGCATTATATTTTTGTGGAAACTGTATTTCCCCCCCAGGATTCTTTGATTAATAAAGTTGTTAAAAAACAGCATTCATTTGAAGCAGACATATTTTGTTCTAAATTTATTCACTGTGTCATCAACGAAATGTGTTTTGCTGAATAAAAGTAATATTTTTTTATTTCCAAAAAAAAAAGAAAGAAAGAACCTTTGTGAAAAATAAACTTTTCATAGTGTCAGAAAGCTAGTGAATAAATAAACCTCCAACCAATTCAATAGGTTAATTTATATAAATAATATATACGCAGAAAGTTTGGTTTTAAGAAAAATAAAATCAGAAAAGAAAACTAAAGAGTGATTTCCAGTACCTGCAGCAGCTACCTGTAGCATCACTCTCTCTTCAGATGTCAGATCACCTTTCCTTGCAGGGGTCATGCTCGACATATTGTTATTATTGTTAAGGATAAATAGTATATCGATGTGAAATTGCTTCCTCAGAATACCGACCTTCTAATACAAAACTCAAAGTAAAAAGAAGGCATCATTGGTTCATACCACTTTGGAAATTGAAAGGAGGGGAGGGTGGATATCCGAGTGACACGATGTGAAAAAGCCGTAATGAATATTTAAGGATGTCAACATTTATTTTATTTAAAATATTCTATAAATACAGGTTATTACTTTGTCATTCAAGAGGATTTAATTATTAATAGCAGTAGTAATTAATGTCGTTCGAAGTACCCCTCTCGAGAGTAGTTCAGTCCAGCTGTACTTAACTTGCCTGCTCAAACTGTCTCGTGAGATAGATACTGCGCGCAGCGGTGCTCGAGATCATCACACAGGCAGAATCACAGACAGGTAACGTTAAATACAATCACATGATGCGCAATGTTACTATTAGCCTGATTCGTGTCTGATTCTCTCGTGCTTCTGAGCACCTTCTGAGCTTTTACGAGTTTTGAAGCGTAACCTGTTGGTCTTGAAAACTATAATTAATTTAACAAGCTGAATAAGCACATGTGCAAAAATGCTACGTTTGTAAGCAGACTGAGGCATTTAACTAATGAAGTCGGATTACTTGGTTATTATTAGTAGATTCTGATTTAGCTGTCAGATTTTTAATATAACGTTACAGTGTGTGTATCATACATTCTCGTAGTTTTTATCTTTTACATTCAGCATTGCACATTCAATAGTCAGATATTTCATACATGCTGTACTATGTACATATACATACTGAGTAAAATGTAAAAGATAAAAAAATATTTTTGTAATACAAAATATCTATTAAAATATGACTGTCAGTGAACTACTGCATGAGCTATAGTGTAATATAGTATTTATATCCTATCAAAGCTTCCGTCCTGTGCTGTGTCCCGCTCCCAACACCTCATTCCTACTTTGAAACCAGGTTGCATTCTCTTCCAGGAATGCCATAGCCTGTGTGTTATTCTTGGCACTGAAGCACTTATAAATTGAGGCTGGTGAAACTACCTAGAATATAAATCTACTGTTATACAGCAGCACTCAAAAGCCTGCAAAAGCATATTCTTGTGGTTGCCAAGTGCTGTGTGATGTTTGTCCTTGTTTAATTGGTTTTATGACAAGGAATGTCACTCATACACTGTGAGAAAGTCAAAGTGAGAGCCGTGTTGAATTAGCAGTGTGGTACAATAACTGGAGAGTGATTGGGTGTGATTTTGATGGTTTGTAAGCCCCACTCACTCCTCAGGGTCTGTTGTAATCTAATTAAGACCCGACTCTGACTTTTGACTCTCCAGAGTTTCTGGTTTTCTAGCAACACCGGTCCTGTGAGGTGTTGTGCTCTGGACATCCTCCACTTGAGC